ATATTTTCTTATATGACTCATTATGTTGATTGCCCGATGAAGTTGACATTCGTTTGAAAATGGCTTATTAGGCAGTGCTGTGAAAATAGATATGTCTTCCGGTATATCACCAATGTTGTATATTTTATTTATTATGTCTGTAATCTTGTAAACGCCGAACTCATCTAAGACTGCTGGCATCTCTATTACAATTACACCTTTTTCTGCTGCTTTGATTCTGTTGAATATCGGCAGGTATTTCCGACCCTTCGATATTTTCTGTGTATTGCCGGTTGTCCTCTTTCTTCGTCTATTCATTCCGTCTGTGAAGTATTTTTCTTTCTCTAATATCAGTGCCACTTTCTTGGATTTTATTCATTCAGCCTATACTGTATTTAGATTATGAACAGGGTACATCCATCTAAAATGTTAAAAAAAAAATGAATATTTTTCGATTCTGTCATGGTCAGAGGAAGATTTTATAGAATTTATAAGGTTTTGGCAATAAATTCTGTATATTAGTATTTATAATATAGATACTAATATACAAAATTTATTTTTTTAAAAATCGGCGAAGATGTGTATTTAAAAGCAGTAATTCGAGCTTTGCTAACAAAAAGTTATCCATCACTGAACGGTAATGTCACGCCAGGCTTAATGACGGTTCCGTATAGGTTACAGGTTCAATTCCTGTTAGAGAATGTATATTTTCTACGAAATTTCTCGAACATATCTCCAGTTATTTCTATCCAGAACAATTCGCTTGTATGAGGCGTATTGAGAACTTAATTTACTTTTCTGTGATAGTGATTTTAAAATTGTTTGTAGACGTAATAATCAACTGTGGTGTTTTGTTACACTTTAATCTTGAATGGGCTCTGACTTCTTTATAGTCATTTTGATAATATTGTTAGTATATTTTTTTTAGTTTGTTTATTTCTACTTATTTTTACATGAGTGTATTTACTTAGATTTTTGTATCTGTGCTTGTATGTCGTTGTGTTGGCTTATTTTGGTGTTTTTAATGTTGATCTGTAGGTTGATATATTTATATTTCTTCTATGTGTGTGTATATATGCATATGTGTATATATATGTATGTATGTATATATATATATATATATGTGTGTGTGTGTGTGTGTGTTATATATAGAAAAACTTCAAATTAAAAAAATAATAATGTTTTTTATGAAAGTATTCATTTATTTATATTTCAATTAAAGGTGCAAATTATAATTTATAAGTTCACGAATCATTCACACAAAAAACAAATATAGAGGTTAATGATTTAAATGGCGAGAATACATCTTCATTTATATTGTTTGCGAAGATGTATTCTCGCCATTTAAATCATTAACCTCTATATTTGTTTTTTGTGTGACTGATTCATGAATTTATTTATATATATATATACTTGATATTTCAGATTGACCTCAATCTTTCTTCAGAAATAACTGTTTGTTTACAAGTCGCGTCCGTCGCGAGATGCGGACGTCACGTGATATGGAAAGCCACTGTGTTCGAATATTCTTAACGTAAATCTACCTGTAATAATATTTTAGATGTCGTTTAAAAAATGTGTATGTTATGTATATTTATGTATGTATCTATTTGTATGGGTGCATGTGTGTACACATACGTATGTATATATTCATATATATCGTTATATGTGTGTACTCGTGTATGTGTACTCATGCATATATAAATATATATGAGGTATTTGTATATATTTGTGTGTTAATGTGATTTCCTTTTTATATATTAGCTGGTTTTATTTTATTTTTACCTGAACATTTTGATTCTTTTTATGTGTGTGTATGCTTATATATTTATTTTTTCTGTTTATTTTTATATATTTTCATTATCTTTTTTTCTTTGCGTTGTTCATTGCCGAATATTAGTTTTCCTATTCTACCCCTCTTAAATTTTATCTATTGAACCCTCTTTTTATCTATATATCTTTGGCCATGTAAGTAATATTTTAATAGTCTGCTTGAATTCATTTACTAACACTTTCAAACTTGAATCTTTGTGGGCGGGTATATGTCTATGTCTTTATTAATGTATGCGTATACGATTGCTTTTTTTGCCAGTTTATATATATATATATATATATATATATATATATATATATATATATATATATATATATATATATATATGTCTACGTGTTTGTGTATTATAATCTCATTGTGTATTTATTGTCATTTGCAAGATTTCGTCCTCACTTAACCATATCACCAATTCAAATGTATCTAATTTGTGACGATATTTTACATCCCTATTGGACTAACGTTTATTCTGAGATATTGGCTTTTCAGTTAAAACAAAATAAATAATAAAATATATGTACGTTTCCTCAGTTTCTTCTTTAAATGATTTTATAATATTTTAAACTTAATACAGATTGAATTAAAAATTTAAAATTGGTAATATTTAATTTTCAATTTTATAGTAAAATTTGATATTAATTAGACTGATTTCTATTTCAGTGTAACCCTAACATTAAGCTTTAATTATTATAACCAAGGTTCGTTGCCAAGTTTTTTGAATTCTCATATACTTGTTTTTTGATTGGTCATTGTAGCTTATATAATAGCGTTTCCCATATCGAGGGGTGTTTAGTTGATTTGAACCATTTAAAACTTTATTCTGCATTCAACAACATCACTTGATAAGACACCAGAAGTGTTAAACAAAATGACTCTTTTTGTAGTGATTTTGTAACATATTTAAGTTATAATATAATTTCCGAATATATATATATATATATATATATATATATATATATATATATATATATATATATATATATATATGTGTGTATTTAAATTACGAAAAACTTGGTAATCCGTATGGGTAGTCCCAAGAAAGATGAAGTCCTGAGAGCTCAATGTAAATTCAGAGCTAATAATTTAAAGAAAAACAGACCACTTTAAGGCTCCATTGTAATAGTTTATTTCACCAGAGACCTTTTAAAGGATGCTGGATCATCAGGCATCACTTCCAAAAGATGAAATGAAAATTCACACTTTTGACAGGTAGTATTAAGTTTATGCAATTTAATAGAGACATGGTCGAGTTTTATATATATATATATATATATATATATATATATATATATATATATATATATATATATATATATATATATATATATATATATATATATATATATATATATATATGTGTGTGTGTGTGTGTGTGTGCAACTAATGCAAATATAAATGTAAAAAAATGGGAGGCGCGGTGGGTAAGGGATAGCGACCCGGATTGAGGAAGCGGAGAGCCGAGTTCGAATTCTAGTCGAATCCATTGCATTCACTTACGTGAATGGGAATGGTGTGAATCCTCTTCTTCCTCTCCCCTCCAACTATGGGTAAATAACAGGACAGACCGGTTTCTATAGCCTTGAATGTCATCTGGTCTACTGCAGAAAGAAGTGGCAACCTAATGCGGAAAAAAATCAGTCATGTATCGAAAGATACATGATCGCTTAAGCTTGTATTACGCATGGCACATAACTGACTGAACTGATTGATGTAAATATATTCGTCTTTTAATAAAAATGTTGTTTTTGAATTTCTTGATGAGTATTATTGAGAAACTTTTTTAAAAAAAAAAACGAAGTTGTTATTTGATATAAGATAGAACTTTGTCTAGCAATAATAATTTTTATGCACTCTTCATTCATCAGTAGTCATTTCACCAACTGTTTACTGTCGACCGTAGAAGTGACTTCAAGTAATTGCAGTAAAAACTATGTTAATAAACTTTAGAAATCGCCCTTGCATGGAGTATTGCTGCCATATATGGTCTGGAGCCCCTTCTGTTTGCCTCGGGGTTCTTGATAGGCTCCAGAGGCGGATATGCAATGTAGTTGGCCCTCGTCTACAGTCACTTTCTCACAGACGCGCCGTCGCCTCCCTCTGTCTGTTCTACAAATACTTTGATGAAAATTGCTCCGAGGAGCTGCATTCGCTGGTTCCCAGACGTCATGAGTTCAAGCGCCCTACGAGGCTGGCATCCCGCTCTCACCCCTTCACTGTCGAAACTCCTAAATGTAGCCGTCTCTTCTACTCCAATAGCTTCATGCCTCGCACCTCTCGCCTGTGGAACTTCCTTCCCTTCTCCTGTTTCCCTGTGAGCTATAATCTCCAGCTATTCAAGTGTAATGTCAATCGACATCTCCAGTTGCCTTGATCTATCCACTACCCTCATCCTTTCTTCTATCACTCCTATCTGATCTTGCTTTAAACTTTCTGTAACCCCTTGCGTCCTAGTGGCTTCCCGCCTTGCTTGGGGTAAAAAAAACAAAAAAAAAACGAAGAATGGGAAGTTAGAAGTGAATCTAATTTTGTCCGAATTGTTTGTCATCGCCGAGAAAATGAAAGTAAAATATTGTTTTTCTTAACGTGCTGAACACTTTCTTGATGTGCACATTGTACAGTAATTATCCTTTTCGAAAATTGAATTGATATGCCATGCTCAAATTTCATCCGTGACCGCTGCGATTGCTTTCACACCAACACCCCTTGGATTGGTATGAAATTCGTCTCTTCTTTTCAGTAGCAGGATTTTATGCAGCAATTAGTATAGAAAAGGGAAACATCAGCTTGAAGAGAGATAGCTCCGTTAGGTCATCTAACGATAGACTTACCCCATTGTAGTGTTATGGGACGCGTGATGTAACGTGACTAACTGTCTCATTAATAACGAAGTAACGACCATAACATTTGCAACAGTGATATATGATATGATATTAATAGTTTGCTCTAACATATCAGTGTCTCTGAAGGTGAAATATGCAAATGTACAACGCGCACATTCACACACGCAAACACGCACTCAAGAAGAAAAAAAAGTGAAAAAAATAAAATCCGTGTGGAATGTTGGCGTGAAGCTTAGCAAACACGATGTTTCGTTCACTTTGCATATGAACGGCCATTTGCAATGTGTAAAGTAAAAAAAACACCCAAAATAAAATGAAAATTTGCCGCCATGATTTATTCTCTCATTAAATTAAAAAGCAAAATAGAAAACGAGCCAGTTGAGAGAAAAGGTGTGAATCAAGTTGCGAACGGCTGCACTTGATTCAAAAGACAAACGTTTTCTTTCTTCTTTCATTGCATTTGTCAAATTATCAATATTCTGTCTGTGTACATTTAATTTAACCGGATAATACTGATTGGAACTTTCTGTTGTCTCCAATTCTTTCTTTTTGTCGCGTTTGCTGCTCGATACAACCGCCAAGAGATCAGCTTGCTCTGTAGAGGACTTAAAAACTACGATGTTGGCGGCACTGTTGTTTGGTAGCATCTGATGTCGTCGACGAACAACAACCTCCTTGTCTTCAGGCTGAAAGCTCTCGGGCATACAATCTGGATTAGGCCACTGAGCAGAAGGGGCGCTTATTCTCACATCAGCACAGCCGTAAAGTCTTTGATGTTTTCCTACTCAAGGTAAGACAAATATATTATTCATTATATTTCATACAAGGTAACGTACAATAACATTCCCACACCACCTGAATATATATATATATATATATATATATATATATATATATATATATATATATATATATATTTCATACAAGGTAACGTACAATAACATTCTCACACCACCTGAATATATATATATATATATATATATATATATATATATATATATATATATATTGAGACAAAGTGGAAAATATTATTAACGACACGTTTCGACTGAGAAGCGTATGCTCTCTTTGGTTTCCTCGGGTTAAAATGAAAGAAAGACAAAATGTGAGTGAAGAAAATGCCCTGAGATCTCTGACGATAGACAAAGAGACCATACGTTTCTCCGGCGAAACGTGTCGTTAATAAAAGTTTTCCATTTTGTCAAATCATTTACACTTTTGTTTCGAATACTATTATACATCCTACAAACACACACACACATATGTATATATATATAAAGACAAAACGAAAACTTATCTTAACCGACGCGTTTCGTCCTCTGAGGGACTTTATTAAATGTAGCTGAACGTTTACTTAATTTACAAGGATGTTCTGTTCGCTGAAGATTTGTTGTCAGGACATAACGTTTCCATTTTTAAATGATGTTTCTTGTAGTGATGAGGATATTATATTCATCAAAGACCTTTTTATATCCCATTCCACGATAATGATAGCCAGTTATCAGTTTTATTATTTCTTGAATGCACTCTTTTGACATCGCTATCGTAAAATCCTTCGCATTATGATAGATATTCAATGTTTGTTTGAAATGGGAACAGTTTTTTTTTAATTGTCGATCTTTTTGCGTAGGAAATAAGGAAACTTTAAACTTAATAATTTGAATTTAATTCAATTCCAGAATACAAATTTCATTGTTTGATCAAAATTTCAGAATTTCAGAACTTTTATATGCTTCATCATGTTTAATGTGCATTTAGATTTGTGCATGGACAAACATTTATTTATTTGTTTAGATATATATAATATCCTAATTACTTATAGACTACATAATATCGCACACTGAGTTCTGGTGCAAATAAAATAGTTATTGATATACAAGAACAGAGCTATAATATATGCATGCAGTATTGCTGCCATATATGGTCTGGAGCCCCTTCTGTTTGCCTCGGGGTTTTTGATAAGATCCAGACACGTATATGCAATGCAATTGGCCCTGATCTGGCACCTCGTCTATAGTCGCTCCCTCACAGACGTGCCGTCGTCTCTCTCTGTCTTTTTTACAAATACTTTCATGGTAATTGCTCCGATGAGGTGCTTTCGCTGGTTCCCAGACTTCTTGAATTCAAGCGCCCTACGAGGCTGGCATCCCACTCTCACCCTTTCACTGTCGAAACTGTTAAATATAGCCGCCTCTTCTACTCCAATAGCATCATATCTCGCACCTCTAGCCTGTGAAAATCCCTTCCTTATTCCAGTTTCCCTGAGAGCTATAATCTTCAACTATTCAAATGTAATGTCAATAGACATCTCCAGTTGCCTTGATCTATCCACTATCCTTCTCCTCATCCTTTCCTCTATCACTTCTATCTGCTCTCTCTCCAAATCCTCTGTAACCCCTTGCGTGCTAGTGGCTTCCAGCCTTGCTTGGGTTGAAATGCTATAATTATATATATATATATATATATATATATATATATATATATATATATATATTTTTCACTTTTTTCACTGGTAGCGCAACAGTCTTCAATCTTATATATATATGTTGTAACCTAGGGAAGGTTACTGAATAAAATAATCAAACGAAGGTTGGTAATGAATGATAATACTTAGGACAAGAAGAACAACACATATAAGATTCGCCAGAGGCGCGTAGAAGTAGTAGTCAATTTGCTAGAGGTGAGTCAAGTGAATTCCACAATGAATCTCCAATTGCAGGTTTTCTACCAACCGCTCCACGCGAGCTAAGCTAAAAATTCCCGGATACCTGTTTCCCGAGGCGAGACTCTGCCTTTCTACATAACCTCGTCTCGTGGATCCTTTCTGCCCAGAGGCTGCGAGTTTGACCAACACAGCTGGAGATGAATCTACAACTCTAGACCACGTACAGTATTATATACTATATATGCATTTGGGAATGGGTGCATAGCCATTATCGTCCGTAGGTATATAATATATAAACAACAATATATATATATATATATATCACACACACACACACACACATATATATATATTTATATGATATATATATATATATATATATATCGGGGTGTGACCTTAAATATCTCAAAGGCGTTTGACATGCTCAAACTCAAAGGCTATGGTGTACCTTGATAAATATTTGGCCTAATCTAATGGTTCCTAAGAAATCGTGTAATAGTTCGTGCGGAATGAACATGTTCATTTCTTATTAATGTAGGAGACACCCAAGACTCTATCCTTGGGCCGACCTTGTTTCTGATCTTCATTAACGGCTTTCCCGATGTCAACAGTTCAAACTGGATATCTATGCAGATGACAACTATTTACTCCTGTCTTAGTAGCAAGTGAAACAGATCCAAACAATTAAAACTGGCAACAAAAAGGACCTCCAATTAGTGGTTAACTGGAGCAAGGAATGGCTTGTAAATTTTAATGCCTCCAAAACAAAACTGCTATCATTTAATCACCACAGAAAACCTCTTCTGTCTGCCATCAGCATGTCTGAGGCTAAACTCCAGGAGAGCAATACTTTGCACCTTCTTGTGCTTACGTTTTCCACTGACATGAAATGGAGCGATTATATTGAATCAATTGCTAGGTCTACTGCTAGGAAAGTTGGTTCATTATGTCGTTCCAGACAATTCCCCTGATCAGAATACATCTTGTACATTTACAAATCTACCATTCATCCATGCATTGAATACTTCTGTCATATCTGGTCTCGTGCTTCTACTATGTATCTAGAGATTCTTGGCAAAATTCAAAGACTCTAATCGATCCTGACCTGGCATCTCGGCTTCAGTCATTTTCTTCCCCGTCATCACGACACTTCCCTTTGTCAAATATTTTCATGGAAATTGTTCTGATGAGCTGTTTTCCTTAGTGCCTCGAATTTAAGCTTACTACTAGATTAGCAACTAAGTCTCATCGTTCTACAACAGTTTCTTTTCTCGCACTTTTCTCCTGAGGAAATTCTTTCAGATTTCTTGCTTCCCTGACAACTACAATTTTCAAAAATTTAAATCCAACGTCAATCCCCATCTCCTGTCTTCCTGAACACTGTTCTATTATTGTCCTTTCACTTCACTAAAGTCTTCTCATTCTCTTTCATTTCCTGTAATCGCCTGCGTCCAAATGGCATTTTATCCTTGGGTTAGACTGAAAATTAAAAAAAAAAAAAAAAAAAAAAAAAGAGAGATCATTTATCAAAATATTTTTAATCCCTTCTTATTCTTTTCAACACCTCTTCCTATGGTCGGATAATCCCTCTTGATAGGTCCTCCATCAAAATGGCCAAATCCGCAGATACTTACCAATTGTATATATTAGATATGTCTTTTTTTTTTAAATTCAGTCAGTCATGTGCCATGCGTGAAACACGCTTAGGCGATCATGTATCTTTTAATAAATGACTGACGAGACAGATTTTTCCTGCAGTAGGTTGCCATTTCTTTCTGCGGTCGACCAGTTGCCATCCAGGGCTATAGAACCCGGTCTCTCCTGCTATTTAGCCATAGCTGGGGGGAGAAGAAGAGGATTCATACCTTTCCCAAGTGTATCAGCACATAAGTGAATGTAATGGATTCGACTGGAATTCGAACTCGGATCTATATTTTTATTACTTCAAATGTTATTTTTAGTAGATACCCGTATTTGACTTAGGGGTGCAACATCTTTGGACCATCAATTGCCAATTAACAATTTTTTTTTAATTTGAAAGTTCCGTCTGGGTGTAATTATTCAATATAAGTTGGTTTTAAGGACATTCAAGTAGATTTATTTCTAAAAGTACTTTTATTGTTCTTAATGATTTGCTATGCCCGAGTTTCTTTGATTTTCCTTAAAAGCGGTATACAATCTTGAAACAATCTTTTGTTATGATTATTCTGAGACATGTAATTACACAAACACACACACACACAAACATATATATATGTGTGTGTGTGTGTGTGTTTAATAACATATATATGACATATATATATATATATATATATATATATATATATATATATATATATATATATATATATATATATATCACTGGAGACTCTAGGTCATCAAGGATTGTCGGGCTCATTACTATCTTTAACAAAATAGACTATTAGAATAATTTAGAATTAATTAGAATTAAAATGATTTCTTTAACCTAAAATATATAATTGTTAAAAATCTCTGTGCATGAAATTAAAAAAAACATTTTGGTATTTTCATATTAATTGCAATAATTCTATAAAAATAAACATTTATTTAAAAAAAAATATATATATAAAAAAAACTTTTGTTTATTGGCCCCTTTCCATTTTGTATTGTTTTATAACCCGGTTATCAAGTCATAGTTGTTGAGATTAACGGTGTAGGTAAAGGTGTTTTTCTTTTTAAGTCAAGACTATTGTGTGTGAGTTGGTTTGCGTATTTATGTGTCTGTGGGCGCGTGAATAAAGCTAATTAGTGTGTCTATGTATCTCTTTGTAAATTTTACTTTGATTTATTGTACGCTTACTGCTGACTGATATCATGTTTCCTCAACATTACTCCAGTCACACTCCTTCCAATCGACGAGTTAAGACTGTCATTTCATTGATTTTTTCCGACTTTAAGTTGGGCTAAATTTAATTTACCCTTTTTTCAATTGAAACAGTCCGCTAAAAAGCCTTATTCTGTACGGAATAAATTATTTAAAATGGAAATTTGAAAACAATGTTGAAATAAAAATGACTTCTTTGAAAAACAGGGCATACAAGTCATTAGTCAGTTTTAAAAGATTATTTATATAATTAAAGCGAGAAATACATTGCCTATTAAGTATGTCTCCAGGTTGATAGGGCTCAGAGTTACGCAGACCGACTATCCACATTAATTTTATTTCATTCTTTTTTCTTTTCTTTCTTTCTTTTTGTTCTTTCTTTCTACTTTTTTCTTCTTTATCAATATCAATGAAATGTATTTCGGTTATTATTTTGAGGCACGGAGTTACAACAGTTAATTTTGGATCCAGCTGAAGTCAAGAATCCAAAACAAAGCACTACAAAAGATTTTTGTTGCTTTGATTTACTTGAATGTTGAGCCCGACTAGTCCGACTAGGCCGTTGACATAATAATATTCTGTACTCTTGAATCATAGGTAAAATGTCATGCTTACTCTCCTTGAGTATCTCAGAACTCAGAATAGTCATATAATTCTATGAAAAATTGTTGTTAAGTATTTGAGTGTGTTTGTGTTGCTGGCGTGCACATGCATTTTTGTAAACGTGTATGTGTAAAATATATCACATAATAGGCTTAATAGTTCAATCACTGATGTTGTACTAATCTCATTCCACAAACAGAATTAGTGATATCTGTGTTTTCGGAGACTGTATCTGGTATCGCTATTACAGTTTATTAAATATTCATGGATTCGACTAAATAACCTTGTAAAATATACAAATTTTTTATGCAGGCACTTACACACACACGGGTGCATGCGCGAACACCCATGAATATTTGTATCTATAAAAAAAATGTATAAACATAAAAAGTCTTAAAATAATATTAATTCCAGACAAGGACAATAAAAACAAATAAAAAGAAAACAAGATTATAAAATAAATTGGTTCTGTTTCATCTTCGAGCGAATTTTGGAATAAATAAATAAATAATGAAAATTTTCGTACAAATAAATAAATTATAAAAAAAAAAAAAAAATATATATATATATATATATATATATATATATATATATATATATATTGGTACAAATAAATAAATTATAAAAATTAAAAAAGAAGATACACACACACACACACATATATATATATATATATATATATATATATATATATATATATATCTTCTTTTTTCATTTTTATAATTTATTTATTTGTACCAAAATTTGAATTATTTATTTGTTTATTCCAAAATTCGCTCGAAGATGAAACAGAACCAATGCTTTTAATTTAATATAATTGAATTTGGTTTCTGTTTTTGAAACATGGAAATTTCTGTTTAGCGATGAAACCATATTTTTCAATCAGTTAATATATATATATATATATATATATATATATATATATATGAAGAAATATAGTTTTTAAGGTGTGCTATATTTATGGAATAAAGTGGTCAATATCAGAGATAGAGTGTATGTAAATATAAATATAAAAGTGAACATTGAAGTCAACACCCAGAGTTGACAGGCTGTTTCATGCTAGACGCAATCGTCAGGCCGCCTGATTGCTTCCAGCATGAAACAGACCGTCGTCTCTGAGTGTTGACTTCAATGTTCACTTTATATATATATATATATATCAGAGTAACAATAATGTAAGAAGGAGGAGACAAAACAAGAGGAAAAAGAAAGGCATAAATAAAAGAAAAAAGAAGGAAAGTAAGCCAGAAGAAAAACATACAGTAATTTACCTGCGAAATATTTCCACCTGAAAACGCAAGCATCGCAGCTGACATCCGAGGGAAGCTGTAGCTCGATGACCAATACCGTGTCTGGAGGAAGATCAGCAGGTATTGAATACAAACCTTTGCCATCATCTCTTTCTATCAGAATCTCAATTTCTTCAGACAACGACCCGTCTTCATGAGGAATATCCCCAGAAGCGGCGGCTAATCGAGTCTCCATTGGTTGAGTTGGGTCAACTCTGGACAGTGACAAAGCCTTCAGAGTATGTCTGTCAAAGCATTTTTCTGTTTCTTGCTCACTCGGCGTACATCTCTGACAAAGATCAAACTGAAACAAACCCCGGCGCACGGTGGGCGTTATGAGGAGAACACCGACCTTGATCTTTTGCCCTACTTGGTAAGTCCTTACGATTTTCAAAGTATTATCAGTAATTTGTTGTGTATGAAATTTTTTTGCCACCACAGAAGTCTCTCCACATAAACTACATTCACGAGGCAGTGATGCTTTATGCAACGGATTCTGGATTAAAAATAAAATTTGATAGAAAATATTTTAAAAGACAATTCATACGCTGTTATACACATAGATAGATAGATAGATAGATAGATAGATAGATAGATATGTACAGACTGAGATAGATAGATAGATAGATAGATAGATAGATAGATAGATAGATAGATAGATAGATATGTACAGACTGAGATAGATAGATAGATAGATAGATAGATAGATATGTACAGAGATAGATAGATAGATAGATATGTACAGACTGAGATAGATAAATAGATAGATATGTACAGACTGAGATAGATAGATAGATAGATAGATAGATAGATAGATAGATAGATAGATAGATATTGACAGAGAAATGGTATATATTAGCTGGTAACTGGGAAATCTGGAGTTACCTGGCGAGATACGAAATGAATAGCAGCGGGCTGCTGCTTCAAGAACAGTGCAAAAAATTACAGCTTCACATTGCGAGTACATAATTCCAATAAAAAGGTGACACTAGAACAACATGGATATACCCAAGATCCAATCAATGATACGTACGTTATATTTCACAAACGTGACATGCAGACCTCTACGAGGCGTGAACTGTCGCACTGATTATGCACTTGTACGTGACAAAATGTGCCTGGTCGTTAAGCTAACTGGTCGTAATCGACCCGCTGTGAAGTTACCAAAGCGCTTGGATGCTAGAAAAGGCTGTGCCCAAGACAGGCTCGAATTGAAACTCGGGTTAATTCCATTAGCTGATAAGATGTTTGTGATCACATCTACAATGCGGCAAAAGAGAATGTTGTAAACTATAATTAGTTAAAAGTATTCACTACTATTTCTCTAGAAGTTTCGTCTTCAAGCCTAAGATTAGTGGTATATATATATATATTAGTGGTATATATATATATCAGGAGGAACACATCACAACCGAATGTATCACAAGGTCGAAGCTTAAAGTGGATTTATCGACCATAACACCCAGAAATTCTCAAGCTCCCGCGCATTTCATCTCCTACCTGGTGGGTAGCCCTCTGGGGCATGGGCTGATATTCAAAGAATACCAAAAGGTTAGGATTAGTTTAGTCTACGACCAAGTCATTATATATGACGCGTGCGGCGGAGGGGGGGTATTCAACATTTGATAATTTTGCGGCAATACGCGCTTAAAGGTTTTAGGCAGTTTTAATCAACATTTCTTTTCATGGTTAGCCATAAGGAATTGTAAAAAAAAAAAGGCAAAAGAGAAAAAGGGAGCAAATAAAAACATTTCGTTTTTTCTCTTTCTTTTTTTCTTTCCTTCTTTCTTTCCTTCGTCTGGCCATTTTTTCAATAATTTATCATCCACTGACTGGTTTGAATGATTCTTGTAAAGTTTACTTCAATTTACAAGGTCAAAATGATCATTAACCTAATGTAATCTTAATTCCTATTGTATGATATATATATATATATATATATATATATATATATTAGTTATGGTGCTTGGTGGAGGTTAAGATAATTGCATTATTTTTATTTAACCCATTGTTAAGCGGATCGATCCTAATTAAAAGTCAATATTACAAATGTTGATTTTCAAAGCGGGAATTTGATAATCGGGAGACTGGCGTATGCGTTTGTGTATGATTCTGTATGTGTGTATGCTTGTGCGTAATATTTGACAATATGTTCTTTGACTGAAAAAAGCCTATTTAGGAATTCCATCGAAACATTTTTTTCTTTTTACCTTTTTTTTCCTTGGAAAACAGGATAGTTCGTTGTCTTGACTGTATTTTGGTGTGTCGTAACCATGCCTCCAGAGACTTAGTCGCGGTGGTGGTTCAACCAAACGACCTTTTGGCTGGTACAATTTCCCGGCACACACTGCGACAAGACTCAACACAAAACCAAGCAACGAAAAGATCAATCTTTTTACGGACGCCATTAACATAACTGACTGAAAAGTAAAAACAATTTATTGTGATGTCAAATATTCAATGACGTCATAACAACGTATTAATCTTTTTTATTAATCGACTGGATCAGACTTTGATAAATTCTCCTCCATTCCGTAATTTTGTGTCTTCCTTGGCCCTAGCTGAGTGAAAAATACAGAGCTGCTTGATTCTACTTAGCAGCACAAAACAGTGGGTCCGGTCCTACAAACATATTTTACTTTTAATTTGACAGTTTTTTTTGTATTTTATTTTCGTTATTGGGTACATCCCCCCTTACCTCATTTAATGCCATAATTAAATATATTTTTCTTTAGTCATGGGTGTTTTAATAGCATACCTGTGAATATGCGGTATTGTGGTATGTGGGGAATTGAATGTTGATGAATGAGTTCCTGTGGCGTATGAGTAAAGTGTAATAAATGAATGGATCGTTAACCAGATTAACTAGGTTTGAAATAGGTACCTCCTCTAAGTCGGTATAATATTTTTCGATACCTAAGGTTGAAAATGAATTTTTAAAAATGAAAAAAAAAACATTCTTGAAGATTTTATGTTAGCTTTAATTGAAAGCTAAATGATTAAATTTATTATTTCCAGTAAGTAAAATATTCTGATATATTTCAGATAGAAATTATATAGATTGAAATCTCAACTTTTTGGCCGATTTAAGGAAATTTTCTTAAAAGTGGCCATTTTCCTAATTTTAAGAAATTTGTAAACAAAACAAAATTATTGGTTTTAAAAATTTTCCAAAAATAAAATATATATTTGTGACACGTTATCTGAGTAAAATTAGTTGATCTGAAATTTTTTTATAATAATTAAAATATTGCTTAATCAAAATAGTTATTAAATTTAATTATCATTAGCTAAAAAACATTTTTCTATTTTCTTCAATCCACGTGACCTTTTCATAATAATGCTATGTTTAGGCTATCATAGATGAAAAAAAGGGAACAATTAAAATGAAAAATAAAAAATAATTTTAAAAATAAAATAGTAAAACGACGTTTATTAATTTTTTAAATTTTGGATTCGTAAGTTTCCACTCAATATCACATAAGGAAATAGAGTAATACAGAATTTTAAACGATTTTTAAACTATTATAATTAAAATTTTAAAAAAATGAAAAAATCTTGTAAAAATTCATTATTCAAGGAAAATTTTTTATTTCTTCAGACAATAGTGTCCTTAGTATAATTTATTTACAAAAACAATTAAAAGCTTTTCTAATTAAATAATATAATAGTTTGATTACATTTGTTAGTTTACCATTCGGAGCAGATTTTCAGTTGAAATAGTAAAAGGTTGAAAAAAATTAGATGATTTACGTTTTCCAAGGAGTCCTACTTTTAACTAAAAAAAAAAATTCTGGAAATAAAAAGGAATTTCGCCAAATTTCATGAAATTAAGTTAAGTAAGTTAATATATGTAAAATTATGTTTTACCAAGATTTTCTAAAACAAAAAATTTCAAAAATAATCTCATTCATTTGTGAATAAGTCCTGAAAGTTTCATTAAAATCCAACAATTATTTGATATTTGCAAGCATTTCCAAATCAATGTGTTTTCAGCGGAAAAAAAGCACAAAAGTAATTGTAATTATTACGCCCAACGCTGCCATAAACAAAACGATATTTTAAACCAAAATTTCGAACGTGCTAGAAAGGATTAAAAGATTTCAACAAATAATCAAAAAGGTCTTTGGTCTTGTCTCTTAATAATAACATAAACATTTTGGCGAAACAAGTTTGTTTTTATTAAGTTTGGGGCATTTTTCATGATGCTATGCTGTTTTTTTTATTTATTTTTTTATTATGTTATGCTATTTTTTCGCGAAAAAGTGGAGGTATCTAGTTTAAGATAGTGACAACCAAACTTTAATACTCCCACCTACATTCTGGTCATGTGCAACATTTCAAAATAAAAACAATGTATTAATTAACTTTTATCTTTCAGGGACTGCACTCAAGACCGACTATATTTATCACAACTCGGCCTTCGGTCCGGCATCAAAGCGTATTATATTTGAATACACACACACAAACACACACACATGAATAAAAACACACACGCACACACATAAACACACACACACACATATATATAAGTGAATATATATATATATATATATATATATATATATATATATATATATAAGTGAATTACAATTAATGAAATCAAACAATTTACCTCATACAAATGACCATTTCGTCCATGGGAATGAAGTTTTCCCTAGATTTTCAATGAAAATATATTTATTAGATATATTTGCATTGAAAAGTACAGGATAAAAATCTTTCCCATGGACAAAATGATCATCTGTATGGGGTAAATTGTTTGGATTCCATAGTAATAAATAATTATATTGCGCTCTCTTTTGTGGGTCAGTTTTAATATTTTATATTAATAGGATCTACTTGGATTACTTACCAACGGATGTTTTACCTATATATATATATATATATATATATATATATATATATATATATATATATATATATATATATGATGTATCAAAAATACTTTTACAAACTTTTGGGGGGATGATTCTCACACAAAAATATGGACAAAAATCCAGATAAACATATGTCCGCAAATCCTTCTAATACTACTATATACACGCGTAATACCCGTAAAAATAATATTTTTTACATATGAATTGGTACTTCTGCCCAAACGCCTACAATCAAAGTGTAGTATTAGTGCTGCACAGAAAATTTCTATATTGTTGCACATTACATTTTATATATGCGTGTCTGTGTGTACGTGTG